TTAACATGTCAGGTGAATCCCCCTGTCAGAGGTGAATGGAGCACTGGTCACCTTTGCGTCTCCCAAAAGGTTTACACGGAGTCGAATTCGGTGCTAAGCGCAAACCATCAATATCTCGGGGATAAGATCAGGCAAGCGGAGGTCAACGTAAAGCTAAGAGTCGGCACTAAAGGCGCTATCAAGATTGTAAACGTCATCCATTGGCTTTCAAACAGAGACAAGTAAATTACGATTAAAATGGGGATTGAGAGGTCAACTTAAAGCTAAGAGTCGGCATTAAAGGCGCTATCAAGATGTTGAACGTCATCCATTGGCTTTCAAACAGAAACAAGTAAATTACGATTAAAATGGGGATTGTTACTACATACTCCATTAGGTGGAAGTGGATAATCATGTGACTAGTTGGTAGTTTGGATAGCTCCAGTGTGAAAATAATCACTTTAGTTCACATAATAGTAGACTGATAGCCTGTACCCATGCTACTTTAGTTGAAAGCTAATTAAGTGGAATTTTGTTTTGGGTGGAATTCGACTAGAAGAGCTAATTCAGCCTAATAGATGAGAATCAAAGTCTGGGAGTTAGGCATTTAGGAAGGAAGCTGTCGTTCAACTTTCTTGGTCCGTAACAAATTGACGACGGAATCAGTGCCGTATCCTGAAGAGTGCTGTCTTATCAACAAATTGAATCAAACTCACTGCAGTCACAGGTTTGGTTCGATGCATTGGAAACAGCATCCAATTATAAACAGAGAGTTACGCTGAGACCACACGCAAGTTGGGCACGTAACCTCGTCTGAGCCGGATCGGGTTCATTAAACAGTAGAGAATTCAAACTCACCTGTCTACTGACAAGCAATACTATCAGACATCTTGTCGATAATAATATATAAGGAAGTTTGAAACCACCTGACTTACTTGCCTGGTGTAAGCGAGTCAGTCAACTTACTCTGTAGGGGAAATCTGGGCAGCTCTAACTAGGTTATGCAGTCATGCAGCCGACTGAAGTTACTACCTTCAAGTACAATCCCGTTGCCATCGTCGTCCCGTCGTACAGCTCTCGGATGTGAGAGCTATGGGTGGTTGTCGAATTACCATTTTCAAACAGCTGTCTCTGACTAAGAGCTGAGTACACTGAATGAAAGTGCGGTTTAATTTGGACGTACGGTATGATGTTCCGGGACGACCTTCTACCAATAACCGAAGCTCATGTGCCTGCATTATGTCTCAGGGAAGATACCTTAGTAGGGATATGGGCATGGTTGTGCTTCTTTTAACTTCCAAGAGCGTAAGGAAAGTAAGTCATTGCAGTTCCTGCTCAGAGTCGAACATTCACTATCACAGCCAAAAGCTAAAAGGCTCTTTTCCTAACCTGATGCAATTATTTCGGTTAAGACTCACCAGTATTTAAAAACAACCGACTGAAGTTTTGTACGTTTTAAAGTTTATCTCATGTGTACATCCTCTTCCGCTTCCGATGCTACGTCAGCAGTCGTTAGACCCAACTGAATTATCATGCGTGAACAGGTTGACATGCTCGTACTTGGTGAATGCGGTTTGTTCGATGTCTCAAAAGGAAACCAATCCTAATTAGTCTGTCAGAGCTTTTAGGGTCTTCATGGCCTACCAAGAAAGTCTTATTACTTATAAGTGATTGTGGCGTTTGTCTGATTCGTATCCACATCACTGACAAAAACAGTTCACCCTATTTATGTGCGTTTGTGGAATACAAAGCGAATGGGCAATCCGTTGCATTGAAATAGTGGTGTACACGGAAAGTCCGGAATAAAAGCATTCGGATATTCAGAATAACATAGAGCCCGTATTACAGTACATACAAACCACCGGGTATGGTGATGCCAGGCGATCAACAAAGATTGTTCACGCCTGCATATAATCTTAGTTTATTCGATGTTTTGCCTTATTGGCGAATTCAGAAAACTGTTCTCCCAACAATTTATCAATCAAAAAGAGAATCATAAACACTAGGACAATGGCATAACTCATCATTCTGATATGACTGGCGCTGGTCAGTTCTGAGCGCGAGTTTACAGAAATAAAATGACAAAATAGCGTAGAACGTACCGGTAGTTTTAACCACTTAACAAATATTTCACCTTCTAACTGGGCACTTAAAAAATCCCTACTTGCTTTGAGTAACTTGCCTCGGTCTTGGGCCAAAGATGGCGAGATTTTTATCACAAAAGTCGGTTAGTTGCTTTTGTCTTTACGTTCCACAGAACTGCCAGAGAATGATTTGAACTACATGTAGTCAATATGGAGACCCGGGAATTCCTGTACTTAATTTTTGTACTCACTAGGCACAGAATATAAATCAATTCTTGTCATTGATCATCAAATGACTGCAATGATGTGTCGATTTGAAGTGGCCTTCACGGACTGAACCACTTTGGTGCTAAGAAACTTCTGGACAATAGCTGCTGAAGACAACTACGCATACAACTGCAGTGGAACCCAGTGTGTGATGAAAACAAACGCTTACTCAGATGAGAACATCATGAACGAGAGATTCAGTCTGGTCTTCCGTGAAAACTTAGTTGGTATGTAACTAAGTGTATTTCGCTAGAACAGATGCCTAATCGCGTAAGGAACCAAAAAATGGAGGAGACACAGAACACTCGCCAAGCCATTTATAAACATAGTGATGTTAGCGAACGTAAATTTACACTGTACGTATTAATTAGGCAGATTTTGTGGCGTGGTGAAAAGGAAATTCGTTTTTTTCATGTGTTATTTTGCTATTGTACATCCCCTGAATTCAACCCTCAGTGAGGTGGTAGACAATATTGATCACATAATACTTACACAAAATAACTGCATTCCGGTGGTCAAGTTATAGTAACAGCGGCAGTACCAACTATGAGCTGCTTGAAGGTACTTCAGCCATGGTTATTTGCTGCTCGTGAGCCGGACAACAATGAGCCCAGTTAATGAATAAAGCTTCATCAACAGTCATAACTGTTGGCGCTTTTTAAATCTCATCCATAATCTCTGGTTCGAACGAGAATGGCTGTAGCTGATCGACCGGACTGTCACAAACAAACTTTCAGATAAATATCACAGGTTGTATGGTGCCATAAAAACCTAGCAACAGGCCGATTAGAGATGCATACCTTAAAGGTTCCCTGTTTGTTGCACCGTGCGACATGTTTCGAAACTCTGTTTAAAAGTGTACTCCTTGTCTAGTTTGAACCACCCCTGCAAGCTGACTATCAACGTTAGACGTCAATGGATACCATGATCTGGAAAACCAAAAGTCTCAACCATTCACGTCGAATACAAAATTGTTTTGAGGTCACTTATGTCCAAAAGAAAATTTCTTGGTTATGTTACTGCAGTAACGTCTGTATTACGATGGTATTCGACTTGCATACAACTCGATACCACTACGAATTATCAATAGTTCGAGTTTAGATTGATTGTAGTGATATGTAGGTGATTTGTATAGCTCCCGAACGTACCACGATCACAATATCTTCAAGGTTGTCCTATACGAGTGTGTTCCTTTTTCTGGACACCAAACGGTTATTAAATAGAGGGATCTAACAAGGTCAAAGTTGCGTCCAATTTTTGTAACATGGTAAAACTCCTGGATCCTTTCTACATGTACAATTCGTGTGTGGATTGTTCTGAGTCGTGAAAAACGCAAAGGACGAAACCGCCCTTCTGCTGTGCTATTTCGTACTTGGCGAATTTTCGCACTTACAGCCATTTAAGTAAATTGTAGACATTCTGAAGAATGCTAAGGTGTATACAATGGCGGTGTTTTTGTTCCACGTTCGAAAGATTGTGTGGCGATGAACAATTCCTCTGTTTAAGAATACTGGCCGCAGTTGAGTCATTATTTTGGCGCATCGCAGCGGAAACACGGTGTGGCAAGCTTATTTGGCTGCGTTGCACATGTTTCATTTCCGTCATCAGTTTGACTTCGATGCGGTGATTTATTTTCTCTTCTTATACATTCTAATATCGTTGTCCGCCCAGTCATGTTCTTGTAAGTGGATTTCACGCGGTTTGTGGTACTTAAATCTCTTTAGGTCTTAACTCTATATGGAAATACCTGTGTAAATAGCTGATTAATTGTCACCCTCACCGGATGTGTGCACTACGAGCGATGCGAATCCGGATAGTGTAGCCGACGTGTGTCACACGTGTATGCACCACTGATACAAGTCATCTAATCAAAACTAGAAGCTGACTTATGGATAAATGGATGACTATCCTACTGAAACAACCTAAATGTCGTCGAGTCGACTAGACAGACCCAGCCTTTTGAAAGGCTGTGAAGCCAGAGCGATGACGTAAATAACCGCCAGCTGATGTTCGAAGGATGACTGCCCCATTCGTGTGGTGTAATTGTGTCAATGCAGTGAAGCAGATACAAAGCATGGAGATTAATTCCTGGACGAGAACACACCTGGCAGGTATACGAAGCTTGTATTTTGACGTCTCCCCATTGTAAGTGGTGCAATTTCAAAGAGGTTATTCTGTTTCCAGTAACCCTGTTTCGTGAGTCGCTCAGCACATGGTCCACCTAAAATATGGTAAAGTGCATCAGAACCCGCACGGTGATGTAGTATGTAAAACACTCAGGTAAACCTATTCTAGGCTTCAGTCGGATGGCTTTTAACCCGAAGCTAATCGTACAAGATAAGCCTCAAAGTTAATTCCGTTGTACAGCCTTTTGGAGCAATCTCGAACAGCAGAGACCACTATGGGCACTTCCACCTTCTGACAATTGATATCGACAGTGATCCGAGGTACAGTCATCATTTCCCTACGATAAGACGAGTCCTAGCTTTCAAGATTGTCTTGACGCACATTTGTGAAGGTATTCATCAAAATATCTAAGCTGGATATAATCGCCTCCTCTCCTCCCATTTTCAGAGGTAAACATTACTTATGGTGTTGTATACTCTAGCTTTTATTCTACAGTTCATGAATTACTTTGTATCACTAATTGGTGTTGTCATTCTCATACAGGTGCTCGATCCTGTCCTGGAGGTCGATTTGCGAACAAACTTCTGCTTGATATTATTCAGTCCGTTAGCAACCGATTCAACATTGAGGTCATCAAGGAGGACAATAGTCCTCATCCTGCAACTCGTGGGCTTACAAGAGGTCCAGCGGAAAGCTACTTTGTCTTTCATCCCAAAATGGCATCGTAATTTGTGAACTGTTCTTCTATTGTGAAGCAAACATTGGATTATGATATGAACGTTGTAATGTACATTCACAGATTAGATACATTAATGATACTTTAAAGTCACTTTTCCACAAGGTATCGCGCTCACGGAGTTTCTGGAACACGGGGATTAATATTGAAGTTAGTTGGGATGCATACGATGGAGTGGAACTTTCTGAAGAAGAGCGATGTCATGTTCACTCATATTTGCTCCGATACAGTCGTCCATCAGCAGACGCAGTAGTTCCAAGTCACTACACGTCAGTGGTGACAACCGAGTGTCACTGGGGGCACATGAAGCGAACAGACCAACGAAGAGAAAAGGCATAGGTATTTATGAGGGAGGACAAGCTTTCAAAGCCTTTGCATGTTATGGCAGAACATCGTTACTTATAAGCCAGGCTTGTTTCACGAATGATTAAAAGTAACCATGCCATAGCGGCTCAGACGTGACTCTTAAACTAGATATGTCTCCTCTTCAAAACTGGTACAAACAGGTAATGCCACTCTCACCAAATTGATCTCCTATTCGACTGCATCTAGCAGACCTCCGAACCTACAAGACAGTGCATACTCTGAAGCCATTGATAAAGATTCCCACCACAGCTTTCAGGTAACTCGTTAAACACTATAACAGTGCGACTTCACTAACACAGCTTGACGAGATTCTAAGCAAAAAAGCTTCCGGTATCTTTTTTTACATGACTCTGGAACGAGTGAATATACACTGAAAATGAAATGGTGTCAAAGACCCAAGATGAAGCACCTCTGCAGCCGCAAACCCTGGAGGGTGTTTTGAATCAGCATTTATCCATAAGCTGTCTGACATCTTGTTTACGTTCTCTGTCGAACTTTAAGTGTAGCTGATGAACCGCAGGAAAGTTGGATTGGCCGATTGTCGACAACGGTAGGAAAAATCAATATCGGAATCAACAGAAAGTATCACGAAATAGAGATACGCTGGGAAGGTGGCTCATTGTACTTCCAACGAGTGATTTGGAGACTACCCTGTACGGTCTTGTCAACTACTCTTACATGCGTGTAACTGTGAATTTTAGGAAAGCTCCATTTTTGTGACCCTTTCCCTATCAGTATCGCGTTCCTGAAAACGGGAATTCCAAAGGAATAATTAAAGTGAGGACAATCTGCTTCCTGCTTTCTCCCACTGGGTACAAACTTGATCAAAAGTTTCGACATTGAAAAACTGACAATTTTTTTCTGGATCAACAAAAACGAAATCGTTCAATCAAAGCACTGTAGAAACAAATACGAAAGAAACAAAAATAAACGTCCTGAGTTCAAGATGTTGAATATTACGTGACATCGTGTCACAGTTGTCATGGTTGTGCAGTTAAGGATGGAATTCGTTGAACAGCGCCTGAAATCGCTGTTCTATCTCAGACGCATTCAGCAGCCCATGGCTAGCTCTTTCCAGTTCACCGCAAAAGTCTTGTAGTTTTCGTAAGAGCAGTGAACGATTTTTCTTCGGTTTTGTGTTTGAAGTGCGAGTCCTCCTGTTGGCGAACCATGAGGAGACCTGTAAGAATGAATCAGAAGCGTGTGCTTGTTGTCAACACAAAAATGTTTCAGAATATTGTATTATACCCTCCCTCTAGTGGGCAAACAATGGGTTCTACAAACTTAAGCATGAGCGATGAGGATCATGGCTCTAATCGATCTTTGTCTGCTGTTCGATTCAGCAACATTATGGCAGTAAACATATCTCCGTTCGACGAAAACTCACGGCTAACGTAATATCTGGCCTGTTTAAAGAGCTCTCTACATACTCCTTCGGGCTAAACAACTCCACGAAAGTGAAAATTCCCCAAGCTAAATGTGTGATGAAAATATGGGGAAAATTAGTTGTAATTTACAACGGATTCTCAAATGGGGTTGCTTTTACTGAGAGGTTTCGAAGGGTTTCCATTACTTGACTAGGGGCCACAGACTTACGCACTCAAGGGTCGTTACTTCTGAAAGCGCGTAAAAGGAAGTGAGATCCACTTCACTTGAGTTGTGATGCTCGTCATCTTTCAGGTGTCCGGCTAATCCCTTGAAGTTTCCTATTTTGAAATATCGTAAGCCTGTTCAGGCTTAAAATTGAAAACTTATACTCCATTGGTAAAGATTACGTATTCAATCGAACCCTCCCCCCAGTAAAATGGGTCATTCAAGTTACGTAAAGTTACAGAATGGAAATGTTAGCCATATGAGTAAAGCAGCGCTTGTAGCCAGAAGAGGCAGAACGCAACCTATTTTGCTAGATCCACCTAAGGGGTTCCAAGCAGGAGCAAAATTGCAGTAGGTCGTTTTTCATGAGAAACCATGTTTTGTCTCATCAGACTATTTTGTGTCTTAAAATATGGTCCTAAAAATAGGGACTTACACGAACAGTAAGAAACTTGTAAAAGCGATACGCATAGATCATATGTTTACTTGATATGAAAAAACAGCCACCATATGAAACAGCCTTCAACAAATGTTTTGGTTGATAAGTTGTTGCTAAATAGCATATCCGACAAGCTGATATCAAAACGTTCAATGCAATGCTTAGAATGGTAACGTAAACAGTATCAGAATGCTGTTGTCTTTATACAGCACTTACCTAAGAACTGGTCTTCGGAAGCCAAACCACTCCCTACGGAGCCCATAATGATCTCTCATCAGCCAATACCTGGTATTTGGTAACTCGAAAAGGGACCACCCGATAAGACAAACGCTAACTCTTCCCTTGATAGTCCCTTTTGGGGGGAGCACCTCCTTAATTTCGCGGGTTTTTCTAGAGCCAAATGGTATCAGTGATGGAGGACAGTTTTATAGCAGATTCCTAAGAAGAGGTAGGGTAGTTCTACGTAGAGCTGCCACCCGATAAAAGTAGTGGACTAGGTTAACTACTTGATGAAATCCAAAGTTTCTGTGGCTGACCACAGGCAAAAACAATGAAATTACGCACATCAACTCACCTGTGCCACGGTAATACCGCCCAGCATAGCAAATTGCCATTTTTCCTCATTTGTTGGATAGGGATGATCTAGATGCCCACAGTACCACTGATCCATCAAACTTGAAGCAAGTTCATTCAGCGGTTTGTTTCGAGACGAACCTTGATTCTTGCTTGATCTCTCGTCAGCGTTATAGACTTCCGCCACATCACTGTATCTGCCATGCGATGACATGGGCTGGGATCGAATTTCCCTTCTCATACCAGTTCTTAAATTATACTTTTTATTGCCCGATTTTGTTGACTTTTTATCAACTAATTTTAAATTTGGGGCCGGTTGGTTGGTTCCATTATCCGAAATCAAAGGGGTAGTGCAAAGTGCCAACCGGGGTTTAACATTTTAGCTGTCTCGTCCGCGCAAAACCGTTCAGTGCCAAGACCAAAATTGCCGGGTTGCGAAAATCCTATATCTTGCGCTACGCTGGGCAGAGTAATAGCATCTTCATTGGTAAAAGGCATTCCATTCAGCTGGGTAGCATTGTTCAATCCAGTAGTTTCGTTGTATGGTAGCTGAAAAATACTGTAGTCCCCGTGGTGCTTTGACTGCTGTGGTGGTCTCATCTGGAATGCACTGAAGGAGACTGGCTGCTCTGAGTTGGTCGGAGAACTATTCTCTTCATTGTGCATCGTATAGGATGTGGCAATTGAGTCATTCCTCTGTATGGAAATGCTCTTTTCTGAAAACTCTTGACCACTGGTTGGCATGTTCGGCATTGAAACCACAAGCTGAGGTTCCCCGTTTCCACTTGGATGTACCGATTGTGCGATTCCTATACCAGCAGCGTTTTCCGGTCCTTCCCATGGCAATGTGGGTGAGCAACTACCGCAAACTTCGACCTTATTTATGCCTTTCTCAACGGCAGTTGGTATTGAAGCGAATTCGCTAATTGAGGCGACGGCAATCGCTGTCTCGTTCGGTCTGCCTTTATCGAGGTTCCATGTTTCGTTAGATGCTTGAGGAGCAGCAGAACTCATGTCGACTGGAGGAGAATCCTTTTTGCATACGGGTGAATCGAATGGCAATCTGGGAGTTTCCATCTCAACTCCAGCAGAGTCCGAAGGAATGTAGCTAAACGAGAATGTAGACCAACATAAACCATCAAGCAGTGGGTGATGATGACAGAACATTGTCAAAGGCGACGAGACTTTCCAAATCGGTCGTAGACCAACTAAACCATCAAGCAGTGGGGGAATGATACAGAACATTGTCAAAGGCGACGAGACTTTCCAAATCGGTCTTGTATTGCACGCACCCAGCTCATTACTCAGGTAGAAACCATGCCGTTGCTCTTTAGATAGTCCCAGATTCAGAGTTAGCTCCACAGTATCTCAGGATGAATAGTCCTAACTTGTTGTATGCGTTTCCGAAATCCTGATTTATCGCCAATGTTATTTAAGCAAGAGATTCTGCGGGCGCCAATGGCTTCCAGAATGCAATAATTATCAACTCAATACGAGTAAGCTACTTATCTCCACATGGTCTTGATTGATTTCTAGGTGCAACCATGAGGTCGGTAAAGTTTTCCCTCATCGCTTCGCCACATGGGACTCAACTGCTGTGAGATTCTATCAAGACTCAACACGGCCATCATTGATTTGGTCTCTCATTAGATTACTAGCCGGTCGGATTTGGCGTATCGATACTATCATTTATCGGCTTGTTTTCCACCAAAATCGCTAGTGTTTTTATAACGAAGTTCAATCATTATCCGTTTCTATAAATTCATTACCGACAAGATGGGCGTTAGTGAGATGCTCTAGGAGGATCATGAAAAATAACCTGCTAACGCCTGACAGCTGGAGAGGAGTTGCATTTACTGAGTGATTCATATAAGTCACGAGAATACCAATAAATTTAATGAACGACCGGAAAAATGAAAAAACACTAGACTTATTGGCAGGAGTTTTTTTTACCCAAGTAAGAGAGAGAACATTCCACACAAGTAAGCAAGATTTCGGTTAGTTCCATTAATACTACCAGAAAAGGTGAGTAATCGCAATACTAGGGGTTTTCGCGCTGAAGACGAAAATTTCAAATACCAAGGTTGAACGGCCAAAATTTTCGAAAAAAGTTATTCTCATGGTGATTTTTGAGTTGCATGTTGCTGCCTCAAACATGAAAATGAGCACGTTACCTCGGAAGTGTGTGAGCCCTGCTGGTGAACTCTTGTGTGGCTCCCACAATTGACCAAACATTCTTCCAGCGTACTGGTCCTCAGACTTGCCTGACGATCGTCCCCTTTCTTCCCATAACCGATGCTAATGCCCCCTCAGTAAATGTGCGTTATATGAACGGAAAAAGCAACTTCCCAAGAGAAATCCCTGTGAAGATAGCCCCCCCCCTGGAAAGTACATCAAGTGTCCTTTTCAGGCAAAGGATAATGTGCGATCCGTCCGGGAAAAAAGGCGACCCCCGCGGATGTCTTACACAGCTTTCCCCGCTATGGCCTGTCTCAGGAACTTAGTGTTTCGAGAAAAATGCGAAGGATACCAGCATACAAAAATTAGGTTGATAGTCACTCATGAGACAACTGGGATTCCCATATTGAAGGCTGTGGAGTCTACTCCGACAGTTAGGTGACCTGTCAACAAAAATAACAAGCATCACGACTGAATATGGTCTCGGAAACATCATGAACAAAAATTTGCTTCATTTTGAAATTCAGAGTAGCGTCCGTCCATTTGGTCATGCAACCAAGAGCCTCAGTTGTTTCACTTGTCGCTGGATCTCACGTTTATAAAAGCAATTAAAATTTAGTCAGCCGCTAGACTTCTGTTCTTGTACACAGTGAAACAGTAAATGTTAAAAAAAGGATTATTCCAGACGAACGAGCTTCAGAATAAGGTCTACCACCAAACCATGGATAAGTGGGTAAGCGTAATTGCATGCGCATGTTCGTTGACCTCGACTGGGCTTAGACCACCTGGATTTGTTTGCACACATTCAAAAAGCCAAAACCCACGGACATTGTAATACGTGGTGATTCAATGACTGTACTATGGATGACAACTTGAGTCTGAATTTCATAAACAGAACACTAACATTCGTAATGAACTACTCATAAGGTTGCTGAAAATTCGTTGACAGTCCGACCGGTTTCGCTTTCTTTAGGGCTCATCAGGTAGGCGCAGTCCCCAAGTTTCCGTCAACCTTATGTTCTACTTGAAACCGAATTGCACGGAATTAGCGAAATACACTCATTTGCAAACAAATTTGGTTTTGCGAGAGATTCACCTGGAACCCAGCTGCAAACACAGTCATTAGTGAGGTGCACACAACTAAAACTTTTAACTTTTAACTATTGTTTATCAGAAACGCGACAAATTTCGCGGTACTGAAATAAAATGATCAAGGTTGAGTGCACCCTACAACGAGGGACCACTGTATCCTCATGTCGCTTTAACAGAGAAGACGACACTTCAGTCATGCCCGACTGTTGGCTGCCATTCAGGGATGACATCTTTAAGATCGCATAACTAGGGTTGAAAAACTCCCTAATTAGTCATTCTGAAATATCTGTAAAAATTTCGCAAAATGTACTCCTCGTACATTAAAGGTGTAAAAGGGCACAGAAAAAGGGGCAAAAATACGGCTAAATGGGACCAAGTTGTACCACATAACACTTTTGAATAAGAGTTCTTGGGAATGATGTAGGCGTTAATACAGATATTGTGGGACCGAGCCAGCGCAACGTTAAACGGAGTGCAATACTTCGGAATTCAAGGTTTGAAGGTTCTGGCAAACACAGTCATTAGTGAGGTGCACACAAATAAAACTTTTAACTTTTCGACCAAAATCGGTCGATTTTCACAGAAATAAAAGCGTAGCCTCATCGTTGGACGTGAATGTCTATAGCCAGTTTGTAGCTAGGTTTCTGTGGCAATATCAGAGCAAAATATGGGATGAAGATGCAATAGATGAAACTGCGATACATCGGTCACGGCCATTTTCTTCCAACCCACTGGCGAAGGTTCGGACCGCCAGGACACTGTCGCCTCTGGCGTGAATAGGCCTTAGCAGATGTGCTCCAGCCTCAGATAGGCTGTCAAAAGATATTGCCCTACAGTTCTAAGTAGGCTCTAGCGACTGTCTCCCCGCGGTTTGGTTGGATGTGATGCGCTGCATGCTCATGTGTGCAAGTGTTATTAGGTTTGCATTCATACATTTATAGTCGAGCTTTCCAAAGTAAACGGTGATGAAACACAACACTAGGGATGTGAATTTGCTGGTTCATGGTTACGAAGCCATGGGTCCCTTGGGTATAGTCCGTATACCGGTCAAACAGACATTGATTCACAACGCACGTTACAGTTGTACATGTGAGCGTAATTCCTGGTACGTGGAACAGAGCACGTGGATGTACCGTTACAGTTGTATATGTGAGCGTAATTCCTGGTACGTGGAACAGACTTTTCGTCGACCCCATAGAGCGGTACGCGTGCGTGAAATTCATAGTCTGGCAGGGCTCTAGAAACTGGCTACCTGCTGAAAGTATGACTTATATGACAACAGATTTTAGGTTCTTAGACTCGCCACAATCTTCTTCATATTGAGCAGTCAGTTCGGTGTAAACTCGTGAAATTGTGGCTGAACACTTTGTGTGGATTAGTTTTGACAAGCAGTCACAGACCTTTCACTGTTACTGGCTTTTATTTGATACCTTTCAAACAACTGAACTCCTCTGTCAAGGAAAAGGAGACTAACGTAATGCTATCAGGACAACGTGCTGCGGTCGGGTAATTGGTGTCGTTTCATGCTTAATTGGTAGCTAACCTCTCATAGATGTCAGATGCTCATTTAGGAAAAGGGCTCCAGGAGTCCGTGCAGCAAGTAGCATTTCTCAAACGTTTCTCAGCAAAACTAGACTAAGGAAAGGTTCTGTCCATTCCGAAGAACTTTATAGGATACTCAGGATACCATAGCGAAACCATACGTGGAATGATGATAGCCAAAAACATCGATATATTGCATACCTGTTACGCTCTGACCTGCAGCTCACCCAAAGGTAGTCTCTCATAGGTGCGATCTGGTAATGGAGCTATCCTAGATGGGTCAACAAATGTGATGCCATTACTTGTGTTGACTGCGGGGTTTTATTCACCAGCGTTTTTTTATAAACTTCCTCCTCAGTTTTCTGCAAATTAAATCAATTCCTAGAAGATGGCGGATATCACCAGTCAATCTGTATTGCCCTGGATCACCAAGTACTTTCATTTGTAATCTAATTTGGTTTTATTGGCGGATAACCCCCTTAAGGACCCCTGTAAAACAATCCATCTTATAGCTTTTGCCACGTGAGCAGCTGAAAATATGACAATCTCGTTTGTACTACCTGCGCGCAACGATAATGTAACAAAACTACCACGAATTCGTGTGATATTAAGTATCCCTCGAACTACGCGTGATATGGAGAGAATCCTCGTCTGAACTACACATCTAGTTTTATTATCCGGATGGGACAAAGAGCCTACTGGTCGCAATTTTACTTTCCCATTGAACTTCAGGAGCCAAAACAGACAGTGCATAGCTCAGAACTGTCTGTCTCCAGCTAAGTTAATTGCTGCTCAACGAGTCTTAATCTTTATAAGCTACGTGCCTTCGCTAAATACAATAGTGTGTGACGTCGTGTACATATGCGGTTCTCTGCTGCCTAATTTAGGGCACAGTGCGAAACAACTGCAATCCCTGATCGGCAGATTAGTAGTAATTCCCTCTGGGTTGGCTAAAGGTGGCTTCCTGTAGCAGGAAGTTCACTGCTCAGGTCAGTTTCGGGAGTCTAGTGGAACGTGATCGCTTCTGGTGAATGGTCTCTCCAGAGGGACACAACAATCATTAAACAATCACAAACCGATCAGCAAAATCATTCCGGTTGGGTGACTTACTTAGTGGATTTACCAAGTACTTTATGATTTTAATTTTTTCGAGGGGCTATAGGATGGAAAGCTGTCCGAATATCTCTGTATTTTGGGGGGTTTTCAGTTCAAAACCTGCATATTTCAGATGCACCAATTGGTGACGCATGGTGAGGTTCAGCTACCTATCATGATACTGTAAGTCACTCAGCGAGAACTGAGCACAATCTAAGTGGCTCTGAAACGACAGCGATTCTTGTGAACAACAGCGTTTTATATCGAGGCAAAACAGCTCATATTTAGATTTCAGACACCGTCAGTTCCTTCGTGACCAAGCTTGAACACATGGGTCTCCAAAGGCCTTCCAAAGCTGAACGACGAGCATAGTTATTGTTCGTATCCTGCTACTTTAGCACTCGTTTTCCAGTAACTCATGTTTTGTTCGCTTAACGCTATTTCGTTCTCTAACATGAGTGCTACAGCATCCCATATGGCCCTTGATTGCGAACGCATTACGATGCACGCTTACTAAATTGTATAATCAAGACGTGATCGCACCTAGACTGTCAAGCTCTATGTGGCGATCGAAGGTCATTCAGGGTTTTCTAACTTCTCATAAATTTAGTCACTCGACTGGAATTCCCTACCACCTACACCCAAGTCCATGATAAGCAGCGACGCATGCGCAAAACAAGTCTGTAACTCACCTGAGTGAATTGTAGCCACTGTCAATCTCTTTAGGGCTCGTCGTGAGGAGATCCTCAAGCGTTGGCACTGAAGGCTTGAGCCCGGGTACTGTGCTAGTCTCGTCCAGCTCAGGCTTTGAACTAGGTTTGTCTTGACCAATGGGCGAATCACATGTGCCGAATAGGGTCAGATCCATTTGAGGAATTTTTTTCTACCGGTAAGTGTTCCTGCAACACCGGTGGTCACGTTATACTCTCCCCCTCTCAAAACCCGGTGAGCTACGTCACCCACGCAGTGATGTATGCACCTGGTCCAGTCGAATGGAGTACGTTGACGTTGGATAACTGGTGCGTGTGTGGCGTGCATCTTATCGATCGTAAGTCCCAAATGAATAAGCTGCGAAATGAGCTATTTGCCGTCTGATTGGCTGCCACCGCTGCCCTGGATACTTTCGATCCCAGTGTCTTAGCTCTGATTTGATAGGGTCGGTTTTAGCTGTCAAGGTCATGGTTTGGATCAGATTAGTTAGGTAGGGTAAAGGCCCCTGGGCTGTCGCCGTTGTGGCGAGGTGGTGATATAGGATTGTGGTGTTTTCCGTAAAAGACTCCGTCGTTTTTCATCTCTGTTCATTCCCAAAATGAAAATTATGCGTGAATATTGTATGGTCGGGGGAACGCCCCACCGACCCCTCGTTGAACCGCTCGATACTCAATTGAATGAACCACCAAATTTATGCGAACCCCCCCCCCCGAGTTGAAGGATGCTGAAAAATACCGTATGGTATACTGAAAATGAGCGTACCAACAAAGCTTCTGTAAAAGTGCTCCGTTCCGAGAAGATTAAACTCTCTTCCAGAACATGATCTCACTTTTCCTGCCCATGTCATCAAAACTGAATATCCGCACTACAGTAGTATTTCATAAGAGATTCCTTTGGAGGGAACATCTACGGTGGACAGAAAAATTTCTGGAATGTTATATGTATAATCATGGGGAATCTTCTAGAAATGAATTCCAGGCTCCAACACGAAGTGCTTTTGCAATAACCAGAAATGTCGTACACTTAGAAGATTTTCATGTCATATCAGCAACTGTCCAGGCAGAAACCGTGAGAAGGCAGCGCACTCACAAGCGCGCTTTGCAGGTTGATCGTAGGCTGACAGGTAAAAACTAACTGAGGAGCCTACTCTAAAAGATCGGTCCACCACAACTGTTTTGCAACCAGCTAAATATTCCGATAGTATCGCCTAGACAGCGAAGGTCAACTCAGGTTGACAGGTAAAATCTCTTGGTAGAGGGGTCCATTTGGTTGTCAGCGTGATAGTTTACTGAATAGGTTGGTGGCATTATCCCTTTATCTAACTGCAACCTTGGTGCTGTCCTCACTTGATTCCTACACAATGCGTAGCCAATGAGTGAGGGTTTGTTTGGCCGTTAGTGCTCTGGTTGGCTGGGTGTATGAGCCCAGTGTAGAATTTCTTTGTGTGATGCACCCTTTTAGTGCATGCTTTCGAAAGGTGCTCTGGTTCGAGCACGGGGCCCAGCTACCATAGCGTTAGCTGGACGTGCTAACACTGTCACGCTGCTTCGTGGGCTGGCAGGACACTTCGACCCTCCTCAGGTAATGCGCTCGTGTGTACGTTCTCTCCGTACAGTGAATAAACCCCCGGTTGAGTAACGGATGGACTGCTCTAAAAATTTAGTTGAGATTCATCTGATTTTTCCTTTGTATTGAGCAGCAGTACTCTGGTTGGTAAGAGAGAGTTGATGGGACCTTCTATGGCCCTCGTCATTTCCCAATATTCTAGCGGGTACCAACTCGAGCTACAGACTTTTGTCCGGATAGGACAACCCCAGTCACAAAAAGGACAACATTCGCTTTACTTGACTAATATGGTAAAGTGGGAAGTTATTTGAAGTTATATGCGGTTTTGTCTGAAAGTAAGACCATGGAAAGCAAGGAATAAAGAATGTACAAAGAAACCTAATTACCGTTTTTTCGTATCAAATGTATGACCTTTGTTTCGGCCAAGACGTCCAATCCTGCTACTGCACTTGACCACTGAGTAAGTTAGTGAGCCTGAATAGCCGCAGTGTTAAAAGCAAATGATTCAGTTGGGGCTTCTCCACAGAATTAAATCATGTGCTGAGAGCGAACAAGCATCCACCAGAAGAGCTTTTTGAAAAAGATAGTTTTATCCTATCCATATCCCCAGCTCTACATCACCGATATCAGTCGATAACTGACAAAAATTAATACACACCAAGACTTCTCACCTATCAGCGATTTCCTTTCAACATAAAACGTGCGCCAGCAGTTTCCATACAAGCGATGCCCAGTGGTTCAGGCTACGCAGTTCAAAACCACAAAAACAATTAAACCTCCTAAAAAGCCATTTGCAATGCAATAGGGTTTCGATGTACAAAAGCCAGCTTCTAGTGCCTAAGAACTCGACGCTTAAGTTTCCACCATTATCTGTCGGCAGGACATAACTGGGTTACCGTCATGCAGCGTTTGCGGGTATTTCAGCATCAGACATCCGACTGTGATTAAGCTGGCCATACTTGTAGCGGCCGTTACGATCGCTAGATGAACCACAAAAAGCCGTCTCGCTCATATTTTGTACGTTTTCTAATGCGAGGCTAAACTACAGTCAGAGTCAGAAAGAGATAGAATCGGTCTCGGAGACCATGAATAGAAAGTCAAGACCCCACCAAACAGCGCACTGAAGATGTCTCCTCGAATGGTGATGAAACGTTTGCAAATCAATAGCCAAGCTCGGCGAACAGGTCGACAGCCACTTGATCAATTACGAAGAAAGTCACTCTGACGCCCAACACTTTTCGCTCGCATCATTCACTATCTACTAGTCATATCGTCTAAATTCAGCCGCTGATCACATGCCCAGTCCAGCATACCATCTCCAGTTTAATGATCAGGAAGATTTGTCGATATCTTGGAACAAACGTTTCGGAAAGTGGGGAAACAAATGAAGTTCAGTGCTCTTTCAAATGCGCTTTTAATGAACAATTCATTCAGCTTGAATTACATCTGCGCCTGTCCATGATTCACAAGACTGAATTTCCTTAGAAGACAAGTGTCTTTGATGCTTTGCGACTGAGGTGAAAGTTGAACTAACTTCATGGGTGGGAAAAACGTTTGATCGGTGCAGGACGGGAAAGATTGCAAAACGATGCGATCTTTGTCATTACATTGCTGCGAGTGTGAAGGGATATATAAAGTTTTCAAGCGCCACAGGATTCCTTCAGTTCAGAACACCCAATTAAAGTAACAGGCTCAAGTGGTAAGAGCGCGAATTAATTTACCGGAAGGTCCGTGGTTCGAACCCAACCCCTGCCACTCGACTTCCCCTGTCTAGGCTTGGGCAACCTGGCAGTATCCCAACCTCGTGCCTCCTTCGTGTGGATGGCGGCTAGGCACCGAAATAAATATTAAAAAAATAAAGTAACATACTCAACAAAGGTGGTGTGATCGTTAACACTACTCAAGACTCGTACCAACAATGCCGATGATGCATGCATGAGTTGCACTCATATTTATTTGCCTACTACCAACCAATTCTTTACGTTTCAAGCAAGCGCCTCTGTCAGTTTAGTTTAATGTCACGCATTAAAACACCGTTTGTTAACTGCGTGTTCTCTTCTTTATCAGTCGGGTTCAACGTAGCGTGTGATCTGAGGTCAGCACCCATTCATAAAGAACATAAAATCGGCACACCAAATTTTCGCATCCTATTCATTAGGGTATCCAAATAGGTCGAAATATAATTTTGCGCACAAGCTCGATAGGTTGACAGATCAGTATGCATGGTTCCAGAGAAGCGGAATTCTTGTTTTGCAGCCGTCAAAGTAGCGATACTTGTAGTCGCGGCAAATTTTCGGAAGGACTTTTAGCCCACCTTGGTGTTACTGGGGGTGAGTTTTATATTCTGGTCTAAACTGGGGGCAGCACTGTATTTGACAGATAGATTGAAAACATGTTTATTTCTGGAGTTTGTAAAGCTAGAGGAGTCAAGCGTTACAACTGTTTTTCGAGGACACAGTAGGCAAGTATCTTTGTTCTAACCCAATCACTCGGATTACCGATTCGGTCGATTCAAATCACTACCAGAAAAATTGCACTCGTGAACTTTGTATGGTTCCGGTTCCGAATGTTGCCGGTGCCTATTCACAACGTTTTGGTCTCGCTCAACTACCCCAATACCTAGTTTGTATACAGATTCGACTGAAGGATACATATGACGGCAGTAGCAATCCGAATAGCTTGCATCGAGTCACCATGCGTGCGCCCATTTATACATGTATTTATACATACAAACGTGCACACACGGTCGTAGCGATTATGATGACAATCAAGTGCGGAATAGCTGTGGACAGAGTTATAACAAAGTTAACGTCCTACCTAATGTTTGGTTGTGGACTGACTTGGCGTGAGATATAAAACGGACAGTTAGTGTTGAACTGAACAAATTCCAACCGGCCGTTGTGTGCGTCAAAACGTAACTTAATCCGTGATGATGTCTAAGATTTGCTTGATTCTTGGTGAGTTTACTCTCTCGGGTTCTATAAACAATGAATTATTGTTTTGCTCGCAACCAACCGTTGGATAAACATAAGTCTTAGCCACCTTGGTGTCACGAAATCGTCCATTTATGAAGTTTCCAGCAGATGACCGAAGTGGATAAATAGGTCCACGAGGTCGGCCAATGATTACCCTCTATAAATACCTGATATAATTGCTAGGAAGATGGGACATATGCCAACCCTAATTGATACAACGCCACGCAAGCCTGTGGAAGCGCAGGCTCGTGGTGTATGCAGCTAAATCCGATGAGTACTATTTTGTGCAGGTCTAATACTGTGGTTCTCAACCTACTGAAGACCGTATAGCCACACCAGCGTGTGGCTACATCTACCATTTTCGCGGACCCGAAAAAATTCATTCCAGATGATACGGAAACCTTTAAAAATTAGAAACTAAATCAACAACTATGAAATAATATGGACCGCTCTAAATGCGAACGGAACAGTGGGCTGTCAACAAAAAGATTGCCATTTGAATGTACACGATGCACCTGACTTTCAAAGCCCAGTTGACTTTTTCGAACGATTTCAAAGCCTGACCTCTACATCGTCAAGGTTGTGGAGGGAGGTGGACCGTGAGCCAAAAGTCTCGATTTTGTCACTAAGATGTCTAGGAATTAAACCGAAATGGGGTGAAAATCAAAGAGCATCAGGGTTCACTGTTCCGTCAACGGCTTGCTGGCAGGGGTCCGTATGTCGCTCACCAAAATATCTAACCTTCCCGTGGGGCTTAAAACGGCTATTCTCTTCCTTCCTACGTCCATGGCATGACAGTCAATCTCCAGTATGCAGTAATGGTTTCCTGGTATTAATAATGGTCATAGTTCAGTGAAAATAGCTGGCGTAGCTATGTGGGCGAGCGAGAAAATCAGGTAGTTTCAAGTAGGGAAGCAGTGTTAGGTCTCGAAAAATTTCTCGCTGTCAAGGAAAATAATCAAAAAGCAAACATTGTAACAGAACAAAATGTCACTGATCTACCTTTTGTAGGAATGATCTCGAAGTCTCCATAAAACACTAGGCAAGCACCGTTGAGTTATGAATGTCTCATCCGGTAGATTATATTGGACGTTTATGCAAAGTTGTTCAATCTAATAAGCTTGCTGGTATCTTATAAACCTGTGTGATTTAGTGACTGGTTTGAGTAGGAGCATGCATTCTCACCCAGATCAAACTCACATTTGAATGACGTTTGTAGATTAGTTCGATATCTCTTGAGGTTCATTGCGTATGTCATCATTATCGTCATCGACAGCATGACATCAGTGTTCAACACCGATGCTTCACTGCCGTACAACCATTCATGGTTGTACCAGCTTGTTGTAATCGAATTTACCTCCTTTTGAGGAGGAGGAGGAGAATCAAGATGAGCTGTGACATCAGTTGGAATGCTTAACTCTGGCACGATACCGCACACAGAGGCTGAGTATCGATGTTCTCTCCACCTGGTGATCGTTTTCTTTTGAAACGTGCCTGACGTGTTGCTGTAGCTAGTCTTCACAGTTACTTCTCTGAAGTTTCTCAGTCAGTTATACAGGCAATTTGTGATAGGAACAAACCTATCGAAATTGACTTTTGTTCCAGTTTTCTCTCATGCGTGCTGTTTAATCCCTAATATTCTCCAGCAAACGTTCGGGAGCCCCATAATTGTTAGATGTTACTTTTCTTATGTTATACTAATTATAATTTCTTCTATTCTTCTATCTAACCGCTATGAAGAGCATGTGTAAAATAGAGAGCAAATAATCTTATAAGGTCTCATTTGTTATGCTCCGGATGGGAAACTGAGAAAGTTTACAAGGCAGGAAAATACTTTTTCATCTATATATTGAACCGCACAGTACGTTATCACTTACCACATAAAGCGCGGGTATTCAAACTCCAATTAGCAGAAAACAGCTTAGGTAGGCTAGCAATGGAACGATTAGATTTGGACAAAAAAACATCAGGTGATCACATCATTCTCCAGTGTTGGATAGTAGTTATAGGCCCATCTGACCAGCAATGTATGACTCAGATAAAGGATGAATTTAGTTCGGTTTGCCTCATTTGATACACACAATCTAGGGTAATAAGAATTGATTGCAATTTCTGCAATTTTATCTTTAAGTTTTTATTTCCGGTTAAACCCTCCCAAACTCCACACTCCACAAGAATCCGGGCTACCTACTCAACGAACACTCACGTTGGAATCTGCATTGATTTGCGAATTTCCCTCAGTAAAAATATTACATCTGAAGCTAATATCGACCGGTAACCAAAATCCACAAAATCTGGCATGGCGATCCAAAACATTCCTTCATAATAGGTGCCACCAGAAAATCAGCCTTAATGTTGGTGCAACACAAAAATTTCTTACTCATTAAGGTTTCGTGTCCCGAGAAGGATTTACCGGCATGATGGTAGAAGGGAGGTGCCAGAAGTTTGCGTTAGCTTAAAAGTATGTCTTCACTGGCACTCAAGATAGGTGCAGGTAAATCGTCCTGCTCAATAAGCCCTCCTAATAGACAGAATACCCCTCCAGTTAAAAGCAGTCCGGTAAAGATTGATGCATACTGACAGGCCGGTCCACAACGCCTTATATATATATATATATATATATATATATATATATATATCAGGATATATTTTGTTCTATGATATTCTGCTGCCGAATTCGCAGTGCACAGAATAAGCGCAGCCAGGTCTGCGTCCCCATGTGATTATGGCCCGAAAACACGCATGACAAGAATTCAGTCATCTCTCTTTATGAGGGCCACACGAGAGGGCCGACTACTGACAGCCTCTACAAGGCGCCTCATGATACCAATAAACTATTCAAGGAACAGACCAGAATCAATCATTTCTGAGTAGCGTCATCTATATGGGGTAGGTTGCGGTACCATACGTAATAGTTTACGCTTTTCTAGAGGGACCCATTCAATTAGCTAAGCAAAAATGGACTGATCTGCTAGATGATCCCTTCTGGAAATGTCATTACTGTAGAAGTATGCTTCAAGGGACGACCAAAAGTAAAGGTTCCTGAAACGTAATCTCCCCTGAGGGTATGCTCTCTATGGGCGGCGGCAATTCTTCCAGTGACTGAGTTTTTCCCAGAAGAGGCCAGTTGTGTTGGTCACTTCAGAGCGACAAGAGAAATTTTGAAACGTCATGTTCCTTGATAACTCATAACCCCACTGATCCTCCACCAACTCATCAGCATTAACTTTCTCGAGATGAATTGTGCATGTGTTTTATCTGTCTGTCAATGTTGGAGATCTTTATACACGCATCGCTTGGAACTTCATCTAGGAAGCTCACAGGGCTCTCGACTTTCAGAACTCATGCACGTGTGAAAATATGTTTTTAGATTTGGAGGTTCTGGCAATCTCTTCCAAATTATCGCTCGTATGTCCTTTCGCTTTCCGGTCGGTCGATAGTTTAGGTGGTATCGCAATGACATCTATGCAGCTTTATCTGCTTGCGCTACAACTGACCTTGTAATGTTAAAACGGAAAGGATACGCACAGTATACCATAATTGACGGTCACGCACCTCTCCAACGTCAAAATGCTTGATGATGACGTGGGGGCGGATATTTTACTTAATTGTATTCTAGTTAACATTTCCTAATAGTTATCCCTGCTGTAACACATGACCAGTGTCCAGGTGGGTTTAATTGTTCACACTCACCACGTAAGAATAACTTGTCTTTTTGGTGCATCTGGTGCTCTCTTTTTGCACTCAGTGTACAGTAGTTGTTTGTGGCCTCATCTAATACTATCATTCGCATAACAATATGGTTTTCTCGGGAGACATATCCCGAATCCCAACCGAATTCCCGTTTATGATGTTCTTCTCTAATAGCATGTGATTCTCCTTCATGTTTCGGTTCGCACAATATTCCAGATGATGCAGTATATTTTCATGAAAGAAAATAGTCATAAGGTTGCTCAAAAACTCCTCCAACGGCCACGACCACTTTGATTCTTCTTGAGCTCTACAGCTAGACGTGAATTTCTCAGTCTTGTAATCCATATCCAGCTAAAGAAGGTCATCATAAACGAGAGATTCACTTAAATCCTTCCTCAAACCCAATTACTGTATATATGAGAGTACCGGTATACAAGCTTGACAGAAACTAGGAGACTTCACCAGTCTTATCAGCCTCAAGAGGGACGAAATCGTCAAGGAGGGTTGTTAAAGAGTTTTCAGCAGCCTTATTAGTAGCGTGTTGCGTCTGATTTCTGTGTCTGTTCACCTTCAGTTGGCTTACCTTCCCATTCTTTGAGCAGCACTGCAGTGGACCGTGGTATTCACAACATCCGGACCGAATGTGTTCACACTAACGAAGGAAATGCAAAGTCACCTAAACGAACAAATCTCTGCAGAATACGACGCATTTTATGTTTACGAAAACATGGTGAGTTATATACGTTGAACACTTTTTCGCCTTCGTCTATTTTTGATGAACCTTCTATTTTGCGGATTATTTAGAAGTTTAACTGCCTGTTTACTTTTGAGCGCAGGAGAGCTAGGAATGGACACCTACTAAGGGAAATGTTCCTTAACTTTTGGAGGGTTAAGTGACTCTTCAATGGAAATAAAACCAAATTTCTCGTTAACCTTCCCGAGGAAGTCTTTCACACACCATAAAGTTGCGAAATCGGGCTGTCTTCGGATAAAGTTTAACTACATCTTCATTTACTGGTACCAACGGATTAACTACCGGCTGCTGGATCAATTAGGCACTTTAAAAGAAGGCAAAATGATCCATAGTAAACGACCCAGAAGAAAGAGTTTTTCGCCTCCTCAACAGAATGACCACTTCTTGGAGGGTCTCTCCCCGCACATGATTTTCGAATTCTGTAGTACAAAGTTGTTGGCGATTCTCAAATACCAAACTTCTACTAAGTTACTCCTAAAATACTTTACCCACTGACTAAGTTGTTACTGAACGAAGTTCATAACAACATTTATTTTAGAAAAGTTGTTTGAACTGAGTTCTACCGAGCCAGAACTGACAGGCAAACCGACCACCCGACCAGAAGATTTAGCTGTTTGTCTTGTGGTCAGCAAAAGCAACTCAAACCTGATTTCCAGATCTTTTGTCTACGCTACTGTCAGTAACAGAAACTTTTATCCGAAACAGCTATTCCATAAAAAATGTAATTTTGAGGACTACGATGAACTTTGGTCTCAAATATGCTTTAGAAGTTACCCTGTCTCCCAAGAAGGGGCTACCATCTTGGTGTGTTATTTGAAAATGGTAAAAACTTCGGGAGACTGAAATCCACAAGGACAGAACCGACAAAATCTTTCCCTGGAATCCATACCGTTTAATTTCGTACCAGCTAGCCGATTCCAATTGGTTGATTTGTGCTCTAGCAAATAATATTTAGGGGAAAAATTTGTTTTTTTGACAAGAAATTCTTTGATCTGGATTACGATACATTGACTTCGCATTCAGGAGCACACCCACAAGACTAACCAGAATAGTGCTTCCTCCTTCGGAAAATCCCCTCCAAATGAGAGTCGGCCTTCCTTCACGCAACACTACCTAGACGGTTTGTGAGAACATTTCAACAGCTCGCTGCTGATTCCGCCTCGCCTGATATTTCTTAGGTAGGCATACCCTCAAAGTTCCCATCGGTTGCGTATCCCACTTGGTCAAGGATGTATCCAAAGCATTCAGCAATGTTAACAGAGTTGTTTGCTTCACTATTTGAGCATTCATGTACTTCTTTTAATCAATTTGGGTTTTTTATGGTCTTTGTCTGCCCAAACAAACTAACTGTGCACATTCGTACGCACTGACATTAACGGAGCTTGCAGTGGTTACTTTGGGCTCAGGTCGGTCCACTTCATCCTATAACTTTCCACAGCCATCATATACAAGCTTGTTATATGCATTTGCACGAAAATAGGACCGATGGCATTCCACATATAGTACTCAAAAGATATTTTTATTTGAAACCCCCTCCTCCTGTTGCCTCGTGCTCAAACTCAATTACCTGGCTACCGCTAGGTTGGTAATTAATGATCACGAACGGCCCAAGGCTGGGGTACCTAATAGTGATCCACAACTGAGATTGTGAAGTTGTAATTTCACAATTCTTTCAGAACTGGGACAGCGAACAACAAAGCGACTCACCGCTGAGCGGAATTAATTGTCAGATCGGTACTTATGTGGCACAACCCGGTAAAACCATGCCTTTTTCTACACAGGGTAGCACTTCCACATTGTGCGAATCAACAGAACACTTCGGCCGACATGAGCTGATTAGACCCAGCAGTTTGGCGACCCCGGCTAGGATGCCAACTGTTTGACCTTAGAATTCGAACAAGCAATCCCGCCCACCGGGGCAGAGGGTGGGGTGGGAATGTACTTTTCGCAATACCTAAAGGTGAAAAAACTAACATGCGGGTGGCATTGGTGGACGGGTGGGGAGCAGACATTCTGTGAGAAGTACACAGTGGGCTGAAGAGAAAGCCCTCTAAGGCGGACCACCGGGGCAGCCCACACAAGGACTAAGCTCACATGGACGGAGAAATTGGCCGAATGGTCTCGCTGATATTTTCCTCTCTGAGATAGAGCATGAGCGATGGTCATGTAGAGTGGAACACACTCATCTGACATGAAAGTGATTAATCCGCCGCACTTCACCATGTTTGGTCAGCCACTCAGCTCAGAGGGTTTTACAACCCTAGCCCAGAGTAATCGTAAATTTAGTGCATTGTTTACCAATGCATAGAAGTTGAAGTACACAGGAGACCTTGAACTTCCTGTAGCTGCGATGTGTCACAAATTTATTGGTATAGCATGACGTGGCGTGGTGCCAACATCCATCCTTCCGTGAACATTGGGAAAAAGGATTGAAGGAATTTTTGTTGAAAATGACGAATGACGAAGCAAACACCGGCATATTGGGCGAAAATAAGATAATCTAGTCCTAATCTTGCTGAGATGCTGAACCGTGTGAAGGTGAACGAATCGGTTCGTCGGATGAGAAGTGTAGCCTTTTCGAAATTGTGCTTGAGGATGGAAGCAGCATAGATCAAAAAGGTGAGAAGTGCAGCGGTATCAAGATACCTTCACGGCCATTTGATCACACTGAAGGCACTGCGCTTTGTTTCTTGGAATAGACGCCTAAATGAAAGCTTCTTTCCGTTACAAGCACAATATCTTTTGTTTTTCGGGACTGATAAGATCAGATACAGTTACCCACCTGAGTAAGTGCTCGCCACTGAGTTAGTTGCACCACATGTCTGGGTCTTACTCATCCGGTTAGTTAAGCACAGATATTGGAGTTTACTCAGACGATACTGATCATGTTTTAAAAATTCTGATAACGAAAAGAAACCTTATTAAATACTGGTCGAGTAATTAAGTATATAGTCTACTGTTTCCTCCTATAAGTGCTCTGTTTAATACAGATTCCACAACAGGAACGCCTTATGCGTCACGCAGCTCTTGTATATGAGGACTTGACAGTGAAGCTCATTCTATGTGACAGAAAACAATCAGTCAACAAATTAGACTGGAGATTCAACTGACATTTAAGCTCATTTCTCGTGTATTTTATTCCCCAAACGAATGTGCTACCTAAAGGTCTTGTTTCAGTTTCAAAGTAGTGAAGTATGCTCCTTCACATGGCACCACACATAAGGTCAGTGAAAACTCGAGCAGCCCACATCTGTCTTTCTTGGGGCCCATCAAGTCAGCCCAGTCCCCGAATCGCCATCAATCTTATGTCACGTTTGAATACCAAATTGTAAGGTGGTCAACATCATTTGAAAAGAACCCCTTATGAGAGAAGTTATCATATGAGGATGATTAGTCCTGGTTCGAGGTTCCCTACTATTTAACCCGTATTGGATGAAACACTCTGCAAGAGAAGATGTCTGACCAAAAACGGAATGACGCGACCAGTGATTACTATGACATGCATATGACGCATGATCCGATACTGGACCAGCGCATGCCGGATTATTTCACCTGCTAAGAACCGCCCATCATCTTCACATCATGTGGCCCCTCAAAAAGGTGTGTCTACTTAAAGGTTAACCCTTCTGTTTGCTTTATGTTGTCCCTTAGTTAACAGATAGACATTCCGTTCGCCAGTGCAGCGTTTATGAGAGTAACAAAGTTACCAAGACGAGACGCGTACGTGTACCCGACAAGCTACCTTGACACGTACACGCGACACACCAGTCGGATGAACAAAGTTACGTCATGAGAAACAGGTGGTATAATCTAAGTTTCAAAAGAAAAGTGGCCGAATCTGACTACGAGAGCGGATGGTTGGAGGGCGAGTAAGGGTGCACGATCGAACAACTACCCCCTTGCGCACAATTGGGGTAATCTAGTGAAAAAAATATGCGTCACGCAGCTCTTGTAAACGCTACACTTCAAACGGAAAGGCGTGCCTGACTGTCTGTGAAGTCATCACTCGAAGAAAAAGTTAACATGTGACCACGTGATTTGAATTTCAGGACCGAAGAATGGATGACATTGTTTCCCGTCAATCACACCAATGAGCAGCCGCTCGTGACCGAAAGTTTGCGCATTCAGCTAACAGCCGGGAGGTTGCGAGTTCGAACCTCCTGTAGGTTCGTGACATGCAAACTGCCAGTGATTCCCAACACGAATGAAACAGCCATACAGTGCTTATCGGTGTTCAGGCAGTGACTGACTTCACTTACAGGACGAAATCCACAATAAATCTTTGAAACTTGTCTATGCTACTAACAAACTAACTAGTGATTCGTCCCTTCTCGGCTGTCCAAATAACAAAAGCTATTGGAGAGCCGCATTGTCAATAATGCTTCACTTCAGTGATTCGCGGAGGTTGTGTATGTTTTAATTTCATTTGGAGGACTGCTATGGAAAGAGTGCTGAGTGAGTAACTGTTATTCCACACGAATTTGTTCCTCAACTAGCGGACACCTACTAATAAGTATTAAGCAACAATCGGTTGTTTCGGAGCCGAACCGAACGACTTGCACGCAAGTCGTTGGGTCAGCTGAGAAACAAGATGGGCAGAGTAGGGACGTGCTGTTTAATATCATTCAGTCTCAGTGGGACAAAATCAATAGAAACAAGCTTATCACTAAAATAAGAGTTTTCACATCAATTCGTCGAGATTCAGAAAAACACAACTCCTCCCTCACAATACCGTAGAAATTTCCCTAGGAACCCCTTCCCAGTCACGCATCATTAAGATGGTATTTTATACTCCAAGTACTTACTGATATCCCCGTTCTTGAGTAGCCTGCAACTGAATTGATGTCCGAATATTTACACAAAGTCTTTCTGAGGAAGAGCTTCGTTGGTAGACAATAGCTGCCGTATCTTGAAATTCAGTGAAACTTGGGGTCGCATGACCATGTACAATGTTGCTCGTTCAAATCAGTGAGCTA